CAACAAAAAGATGGTTTTAACTCATTTATTACGGCAACGATTGCAGTATTTTCGGGCGCATATCCCACACGCGTATCTCGGAGGTGAATAGCAAAGGATATTAAGAGTTTGGGTATAGCCAATCTGAGCGCTTCTTCAGCGCTATCCACTGTTTTAGTATATACTAACTCTGTCTATCAAACTTGGTTGAATTTTTAATAACAGCTTTCATATTAGAACTAATTATCCAGGTAAATTTATATTTTTTAAGTTCTAGAAAGCACAATCAGTGGCAATTTTCTGTGGCATCATATGTTCTCGACACCAGAACAGTTGAATAAGCAGGAATAATTCGTCAAATAAAATGGTATATTTCGAGCTCAAAATATACCAAAACCAAGATGACAGCTGTAGGAAAAAAAAGAGTACCGAAGCCCAAGGTACTCAGTGGCAAAGCCAAAAAAGGGCGGGAAAACGAGTGATATTTGAACAAATCTTCTTTAACACCATACATTTGTCAAGCTTTACAAGATGCGAGGTTTCTAAGGATGGCTCCATTAAAAGTAGCCGTAATGGTAGAGTGCGCTCTAAATTATAGACATAATGCCATGAGTACAAACAGTTCTGACCTCCACACAGTTTTTGGGTATATCCGGGCTGTTCAAGGCCAGAACTCTCGCTCGGTAAAACAATTCGTCTTCAGCATATATAGCAAGGCACAGCATACCAACATAGAGACTCTTTTGGTCAACATGCTAGAGATAATAATAACAGAAAGAAAAACGTTGTTACCACACAAGTCACATATCGTCGACAACAACACAGGTGACTCGTTCTCCTATGGCACCGAGGAATACTCCTGCAACTGTTCGGAAGCAAACTATTCTCGTTACCTGTGTTAATAGATGATGTACTGTTATTAATAACGATTATAGGACTGAATGGAGTCCAATTGGGTCTGTAATCATGCGAGTGATTAACAAAACCGGACGACCACGAAGCGGGAGTTCGATTTGTTAATCACAAGTATGATTGCAGACAGAATTGAACGACACAAAGTCCTGTTACCAATAATTCAAACGAATAACATAATTTGAGGAAAATCTAAACATCGGTTATACGTTTTTAAAGGAAAAACAACAGTAACTCGGTGAAACGCGCGACAACAGCGCGCGCACATGATGCACACTGTCCACTAACACAGGCATGACGTGTCAATTGTCCTGTTATACCGTCCAATTACAAGCATGACGCCTACACTGTCCTACCAGTGTTCAAATCGGGCTGGTAATAACCAATCAGGTCCGACAATTTCGTTGTAGTTTTTATTACAAGGAGAACATCGATTCAAATCACTCCATACCCGTAAGTTCCTGCCATCATACATGTTGATATGATTTTGCAACATTTGAAGCTGCATAGCGGATTGTCTGTCGGGTTTCTGAGCCCAGAAGTGACCAGCATCTATTACCTGAAAAACATGTTAAAAACGTTGTATCACTTCCCAACATCACAAGAAACAAAGGAAGTAAACTGGGCAAAACGCTATTTTACGATGTACAACAATACTGAAGAGTACACCAGAATTGCACAGCCATGTATTAAACCTCCCCACTACAAACCACACTGGGGGGTCCGACCCCTACGGTATTGCTTGAAGGAGTGTCCGTCTCATGACAAAATGACACCGATAACACTGAGATAATAACACTGCACGTTGCATACAAGTCTGTCCTCATTCGGAATGGTATAAAAGTCCTACCACTGAAGTTATGATTTCCAGGTAGCCAGTTCGAGGGAGCTCAACCTGTTGAGTCAGAAAAGAGAACAAGAAGATGAAAAAAAGTTCTACGTTAAACCGCTTTGCAACTTGCGTGATCATCGTTTCTCGGTCCCAGACCTCGTCACTTCCCCCTCCTGGTGGTTTGAATCTAAACCACTTAGATAAGGTCATCGCCGAGTACTAACTATAAAAGTGGCTTCAAAGTGGTCATTTCTTATCAGCATGTACAGTTGATGTAATTTTTTTTCTAACAATTAACTGAAAGTACACAATATGTAGGCTAGAAACGAGTTGAAGCCACACCTGAATAAAGTGATTCAGTTACTATCAGTTGGTAATGCACTCACGGCTGGACTGCCTTTTGTGGGTTACATTTCTTTTAGAGTTCCCAGTAAGAATGGGTCGCACATTTCCGGGATTTTAGGGGGATGGGGGAAAAATTCTGGTAAGTAGGGATTTAAAAATGGGAAGATCCGCTACAAAAGTTTTTGCAGTATCACCAAAAGTGACTAAGATGGGATCTACAATTAACCACAGAAAAGACCATAATGGGGGGTTAGGGTTCTGGCAGGCCAGCGGCATCTCCCAGAAAACATTGACCCAAGTACTTCCCGCCAGGCGAAGGCTAAGTACAGTATAAGCCAAGGTGTGTGGACAGCACCTGCTGTGGTTCTTGAACGCGAGTCACACTTCCAGCGCCTCTTGCTGATAGATTTGTAGCAACTCTGAGAAAAAAACGATAGAAATAGGAGTTTGTCGAGAGGCCGAGATATATCATCATCATCATTATCATTTACTTGCCTTTTTTTTCAACAATAACGATAAATAAATTTGCAGTATTACGATGATGATGCGTGGAGATCTCAAGAAACCACCAGTCTAGAGGCCCATTTGTTCAAAGACCGTTTAGCACCAACCCAGGGTTAAATTTTAATCCGGTATTCTTTTTGTCCCTTTGTTCAAAAGCCTTTCTCGGATAATTTCCTCTAGTCTTTGAAGGACATCCAGTCATGAAATTTTAGACAAAAATTAGTAGACTGAATTTTCTTTTAAAACTTTCAGATCTTAAATCAGATTTCACCTTAACCCAGCTTTGAACAGCCCAGCCCAGGCTTGGGAGAGAAGCCACCTCACTTACAACGATACATTTAAAAAAAAGAGTGCTGTGAATCTGCGGTTCGGCCAATTCAGCGATTATTTTAGTAAAAATCTCTAGCATTTTCATCTTGAAGCAAAGAAGACTTGACGAACGAGTGACTGAAACAGGAAGAGAGTTCCAAATTTTAGAACCTTGGTAGGACACGAGGTATCATTCATCTATTTTTAACCAAAGAAAAAAAAAATGCCTGAATATAGGATTTTGGTCAGTGCTAATTTTACATGGAGCCATTTGCTTATTTGAAAGAGAGCAAAGACTGTGAACTGACCTGTTTGTTTTAAGTTTTCGTGTTTCCGCGTTTGCTTCTTCGTAAGCATTTCTCCTTTCCATCAGCATGTCCATTTCTTTACTTTTGTCTTCAGATATAAAAAGATTGAGGGGCATTCGTAAGTGCCTGCAAAGAAGAAGGCCAGACATCGAAACGGTTTAGTTTATCTTAAGTTAACTCTATTGTGTTTTAGTTAGTCTTGTAAGGTGTTGAAAACGAACACAATTACTATGAATTGCGTACAAGATTACCCAATTTTCGCGCCGTTGTTCACTGGGCGCCTGTATCTATTCTTCTACAGGAACTGAATGAGCCTCACCTCATTTTAATGGCCTTATAGACAGCAGGAAGAACTGTGTGTGAATCAGTGACCCTTGTTCTCTCAAACTCGATATAAGCTCTGAATTTCAACACAAAGATAATCATTCAAGTAACTAAAATTGAAATAAGATACGTACATATCAAAACAACAACAAACTTCCAAATTTTTTTTAATTCTTTACAGTTTTCATTAACAACCTGGTATCTTCAAAATAAAGAGCTTTTCCTTTGCCGCACGATCTGAACAACCTAGCAATCTGTGACCTGTACAGCGCACCATGGGGAGGCATATTCCTGACCTGAAAAGTAATTTTATTGAGTACATCAGCCAGGAACTGCTGTTTGCAGGAAAGTGCAAATAAACATTTGTAAGAATGGGCAACCAAATAGGCATTTATACAACCAGCCAAGGAAAATGATTATACGAGGGCTAGTTTTGAAATAAATGAACAAGGTCACTAGCAGTTGGTTATCAACTACACGTGTAATGTTTTTGGAGACAAGTAAATCGCTGTGGTGAATAGAGGCCTTTTCGACTGAGTGTCCGACACTTGGTCGCCCGTGTTTTCCCGCGCTTTCGGCAGTTTGGTGATTACGTTGGTTTTGGTTTTGCGCGGGAAAACGCGGCCGACCAAGTTGTGATTGGTTTTCGTTTTGCATCTGATTGGTTTAGAGAGTGGCGCAAGTTTTTTGGACCAATCACAGAGCAATTTAAAGCAAAATCAATACACTCCTGGGTCCAGTTGTTCGAAGGCCGATTAGCACTAAACCAGGGTTAAATTTTGATTCAGGTTTCCTTATTTCTCTATTCAAGAACCTTTATGAGATAATTACCCCTGTTCTTTTTAGAGCATCCGATCATCAAATTGTAGACACAAAATAATTAAACTGAACTTTCTCCTAAAGCTTTCAGACCTGAAACCAAATTTCACGCTAACCCTGGGTTAACTTAACCCAGCTTTGAACAACCCGGCCCTGGATTACTTTAACGCTTACTTAAAATTTGCTCCAATAAAGAGCTGACGTTTTGATGATTAGCACCGACTAGGAGCAATTTCCACTCATAAGGGGCACAGCTTGGGCCGGCACTATATTCATACATATTATGTTACATACCATCACTGTTGTAAAAGGATCATGGCCAGACATCACCTTCATTACGTCAGCTTCATCAATATCACTTGAAGCGAAGTAGTTTGGGTAAAAAGCTCCACAGATCACAAGCTGTCGAGGAACGAAAAAAATGCAATTAACCCACTTTTCAAAGTGACTAGTGTCTAATTTCTCCTGACAAAATCACCCCTGAATCACACATCAATGTAACGAGAATTCAGGAAATGATCATGGAATAGAGAAGCTCTTGATTGGAAAACTAAATCTCCATGTCAGCATCTTAAGAAACATCTAAAAAACAGTATGGAGAATATGCATACTGATGTGGAATTGAACTCAAACGAATCAAACCAACCTTCAAAATGAGAAGAGACTCATCAGAATTGCTCGCCCTCTGAACGAAAAATCAACTTGTCAGACCAGCACTTGCGCCTCAACATATCAACAACTTTTGTTAAATTAGTACAAAAGAATTTCAAAATTGCAACTTACTTCTGATGGAGAGGTTGGTTTGTTCTGAGATTCAGATCCTTGAGTCTGTTAGTCAACTCAGTAATGAGTTCTTCAACCTAAAGATAAGAATATGTAATCAGGCCTTCAAACAACAGAGCCAGCAATTGACGAACCTCACCAATTATCGGTACTTCAGTTACAAACTCAACAGAAAGCTGAAAAGAAAACACAAATCCATTGAAAATCTTGAATATAAACCCTGACACACTATTTACTTTACAAAAGTCTTTTAAGGGGGTTGAAGGGGGTTGCATATTTGCCCCCATTACAGCCCTCCAAGCTGCGACCGTTTCGGGTGCCAAAGAGATAAAAAAAAAAGAAATGGAGACTACATCTACAGCGAAAGTCGCCTCTTTGCACGGACGTCACCCAATAAGCTTTACCATATAATCCCTTCCGGTACCACATACGCATTCCCATAAAAAACCATAATATAAGGTGACTTGAGTAGGGCCGGACCAGTTGACAAGAGCCGCACCAGAAAATGCCATCCGGCCCCACTTTCGCACAGGTCTGTTGCATTTTTCCAAGAACTTGAATTCTTAAGGCGGACATACATTACAACAAAAACGGACATGAAAACTAATTGGTGTTTTTTAAATTGATTGTTTCTTTCTCGAATTGACTCGAAGAAAGCAGGAAAAATTTTTCTTTTATTATAGAACCTTTCTTTGTAGTTGTCCAGCGCTCGCCTGTCTTATGTATGTAATACCATCGCGTGTTTAGGTTCAAACATAATTTCAAAATGTTTAAAACTTATAAGTTATATGTAAAATACTTATTTACTGAGAGGGAGGGCCGAACGGGATAATATTTGGCTTTCAGTCAATACGTGGTTTCGTGATAAACCTTAAAATGAATTGTTTTCACTAACTCCTTTATTTCCTTTATCTTTTTCTCTTCTTTTTCCTCTAAACGCAACAACCTACTGCACCTTCTTATATAGTTCCTTACAATATTTCTAGAAGATTCTACAGATTTACAACACGACTATTTTAAGTAACATTACATCATAGAATTTTCCAGAATTTACGGTAGACAACTCGAGTTCCTATAAATAGACGTCACGTACTCATGTCGAAACCACTAGAACTTTCCTAAAGGACTAATCAAGAATGTTCTGGAAATCATAGGATAATCGATAAACGTGCCAAATAACATGTCTTCTGTCCAATCCGAGAGGGTTGATCAGGTCACGCCAGGCCATCAACAATCGAGCAAACCAGGAAACATTTAAAATCAGGTCATTTTGGTTTAACAACTGAGTTGATAATGTAAACTGGCCAACGTAATGAGTTTCAAAGCTAACGTTAAGAGGGTTAGCCCTCCGTAAGAGCGAATGGCGAAGGGCTAACGATCGAAACGTCAGCTTTGAAACTCTTTACGGTGGCCAACTGAATCTACATTATCAACTCAGTCGATAAAATCAAAATTACCATGTTACTCCCACTGACGCAGTACCACAGTTTTTTTAGAAACTTACCCCCCCTCCTAAAAACGTTTAAAATCAGTCAACTGAACTAATAAAACCGAAGGCAATCAGCGTTTGAAGCATCAGCAGTGACCGTACCTCTCTAATGCGACCTGGCTGGATCAAGTTCTCTTTACACCATGCTGTTTCACCCTGTGAAGAAGATCCGAAATCAAAAGCACATTACAGCTGGCGCATTGCACTTTCATTTTACACTGGCACAGTAATTTTCTGCAACACATATTCACTAGTGGCAGTCTCATGCAAGTAACAGGAAGGTTTGTCACAAGTTTCTAAATTTGCCTTGTTTAGTTCTGCAAAAAAAAAAGGCGAACAAGCTAAAGAGAAAACAAAACATTTTGACGAACCCTTGGGAATCCCTTGCGTCTTTTACGAGCGCTCCATTCCTGTCATCAAGGAAAAAAAGAACAAGGAATTTTATCATTTGAAAGATATAAAAAATGTACAATTTACTGCAGAACAAACAGTTCAAATTGTCTAGACCAATTACACATTACACTGATTTGCATTACCTTGTAGGCGTTCAGAGTTACAATACAGTCGCTGTGTGAATATGCATCCCAAGCCATTTTCTTACTGAAAATGGAAAAAAAAAATTTTTCCGAGAAAAATTCATATTGAAGCAATCTTTAAATAATCTTTACAATTGAAAATCTTAAAAAAATCAATACTAACTTTCAAGGTTGAACACGGTTCTGTTGGCAAAAAGTGTCCTGTAAATGACTTTTCGAAGTTTAAAAAGTGCTCTTCTGTTACTATATAACACAGAAAAACGTACGTACACATAGGCATTGAACTCCCTTTTAAATGGCTTGGCAAAAAATGACTGCAAAGACATTGAAGCACCTAAAAAAAAAATTGATGAACATGGATTAATTACTTAGGCACTTAGGCACTTAGGCACTTAGGCAAATACCTTTATCAAGAAAAACTGAATTCCTCGAGTACAGGATAATCACGATCCATGGATTATGAATCTGATTTCTTTTTATCAAGAATTCAATTGAACTTGGAGACAGAAACATTAACCCTAACGGTGAATAGCATATAATTTCTACTTACGACATCACCCCTAAATCAAACTATGGTTGTACGAGAGCCACATGATGGTCCTTACTTATAACAAGGCATTCTTCAAGGCAGCCAAACACGTATCCCAATATTAACAGCTTTCCAAGATAAATGTCGATTGGCAGGCTTCCTAACACTTTGCCTACAAACGTCAGTTCTCCGTCATATGGATTGATGGTATCACTCTTCATTTTAATGGTCAGGGCACCAACCTTACAAAGAGGAAAACATGTTTGGTGGTAAGTCATGAACACACAATGACTGCTCTATTCCCGCTACTCAGATAGCTTGTGATCAGGCCCTCGTTATTTCTCTGCCCGCGGTAAAGTTTTAGACGAGCCGTACTGGGGAATATTAGCCCTCGGTCGTTTTTGTACGGGCCTCGCAGCGCTCGGTCTGCACTGTCATGACCTCAGGCTTGAATTCCCCCGTACCAGCCCCTCGCGCTCGGTTAGTAAGAGGTAATTATCTCACCTGTTTCAAAAGCAAGACTGTCCGTTCTATATCATCTGGATCTGGGGGCTGCATTGCCAGTCTTAGGACGGCCTTGGGGGGTCCTATGTCTAACAGCTTTACTTTTAAAACGATCTGTTCCAATGGACATCTCTGGAATAAAAAAGATGTCAGTGAATAAAAATGATGTCAGTGAAAACCTTTTTGAAAGCAGCAAACCACAAATCCAGGTACATAAGCCTGTCCAATTTAAATTATCAGGTAAAACAAATCGGTATTCATACTAATGCACTTGAGAAAAATCCTTGTTTGATAAGAGAAAGACGATTTCCAACGAACAGTTTTTAAAATTATCATTGCTGAGAAATCCTCAACTACTTAGAACGGTGTCATTAGAACACATGTAAGGACTGGCAACGACTGTACAGTGCGCATGCGCGCGCGCGCGCGCGCGCGAGAGAGAGAGAGAGAGAGAGAGAGAGAGAGAGAGAGAGAGAGCACATGGCCAAGATGGCGACTTTGTGGTAGTTGTTGTTATGAGCAATTAAACCTGTTGTGTTCTTGTAAGTATTTGTTTATTTGAAGTCTTACACAAATGATCCCAACAGCAGCCGATCAAAGCACCCTTACAACCCTGCAATTCTCAAAATTGAAAAAAACTCTAAGAGCATATCCTAAAAAATAACTATTTCCAGAAAATTGTTAACATTCAAAGAATGTTCATGGTCTGTACGTAAACTTTGTGAAAAGTTTACACTGCTCAGGGCTATGACAAACTATCTGTTTTACTACCAACCTGTATTTCAGGAACACCAAATTCTGGAAGAGCATTTTCATAGAATTCTCTGGTTACCAATCGAAAGCACGTTCCCGCCGACACACGGCCAGCGCGACCTTTTAATAAAGAAATACAAACAAAAGCGAAATAAGTTAACCCTTTTCATCCCAAGATCTGATTGTAATTCTCCCCTCTAGCTGCTACACATTTCCTTGCTAATTTGTTACGAGGATTTGTTGTTCGATCAATATTAAAATGCTGTCCCTTCTTCAAAGTTTCTATCTTTTCTTCTCCTTTCAAAAGTATCGCCTCACTAAGCATGATATCAGCAGAAAATGTAAAATTCCACAACTATCATCAATTAGCCTCAGTCACAGCCCCACCTTTACGCTGGGTACAGTTTGCTTTGGATGCCCAGTGTAATCGTAAACTCTGAAAGTTTGTCTCTGGATCACAGACAAGGCTCTTCTCCAGACAAAAGTCAATCACTGCAACAAGACACATGCTCATTTTAAGATGTCCTTGAGAACTGTTATCCTATTTTAGACAACAAACAGTCTCTGTTAAAAAAATTGATGTTTTAGAGCCACAAGGAACTCTAGGAGTGAGCTGCGGCGCGAAAACAATTTTTTTCTCCTGTTTAATTTTTCCTGTGTCAAAAAGGAGCGACTGCTCGAAGTCTACTCATAAACCAATTTCCTGGTTTCTCAAAAAGAACCCAGTAATGTACACCAAAACTGACTTGACCAAATGTTCTTACAATATCAATATATTTTCCAGCAAAGAGGCGGTCAGAACTGAAGTTTAAAAGCGAAAAGAGTGTAATTAAGATCTTGGCATGTGAAGGTTAAAAATTTCTCCAGCATGAGATCTGAAAAAGTACAACTGTTGAAAATACTTTGATTACAAAAAATGTGCGGAATGTTTTCAGGAACTTGTAACAAAGACAATTACGTACTAATAACTTTTGTTGTTGTCGCAAAACGTCTGCGACCTGGTGACACTCTTTGTCGAATAGTCTTATCCGTAATTAATGGTCATTGTATAGTTTTATAGTTAAGGAGCAGAGGGTTTTCGAGAACCGTTCCGAAGGATCTCGAGATAAGTTTAGAGCCATTCCGAAGTATCTCGCTAGTAGTTTTGCGTTTATCTTTGGTGTTTCGTCCGACTAAACATGCAAGTCTTGTCTAAAGCACATCGCAAATCAGTTTAAAAAATTTTCTCTTTTGTTTGACCATGTTTGGCACAAGAGAACGTCAAGTGATACCATGTGTTTGGAAGTACCTGGTGTAAAATCTTATGATAAATGATAAAAAAATGTATTTCATCCTCTGACTAGAAAAGTAAACTTTGATTTTACCGTATTTTATGTCTGGAACAGTGAGTGAGCTTTCTGCAATATTTGTTGACAAGATCACCTGTCAAAAAAGGAGTAACCCATTCAGTCAATCAATCAAAATAGCTGTCTGTTGGCCATTAGGAAAGCCAGTCTTGTGCTCCCTCAGACAGTCACAAGGGTCAATCTACCATCCACCAAATCACTCCCTTGGCCCTCAATTCCACAGTCTATCAGTCGGATATAATCAGTCACTTACTTGGCCACTCACTTAATCGGTCAAACAAACAGTCGGTTGGTCCATGGGTAAATCAGTCAGTTAGTAAATCACCTAATCAGCGTATCAGTCGGTCAGTCCACTCGACAATTAGTCAGTTGTGTGTTGGTCAGTGCATGCGTGTCACTCAGTTAGTCAGTCAGCTTGTCTGTCTCTTCATCTAGGGGGGGTAAGTTTATAAAGAAACTGCGGTGCTGTATCAGTGAGGGGTGTTCAAATGAGTTGATGTGGTTAATTAGCCACCGCGAAAAGTTTCTATAGCATATCAATATTTTAAGCATTGGTTTAACGAAGGGCTAACATTCAAAATATGAGGACTGGTTTAGAAACTCTTTATAAACTCGGCTGATAAAACCAAACTGAGTTATCTTCATCTATCAATCAGTCAGTTCAGTTGCTCAGCAGTTCTAACATTTCATTTGTCAGTTGGTCAGAAAAAAAAAAATTCCCATTTAGTGAATCGCTTGCGAACTACCGGTATCTCAGCAATACCGTGATATCGTATTAGTAAAAGGAAAAGCCAGAGATATCTCAAGACAGTGTCAGTGGCCACATGTTTAGCACCTAATATCTACAGTACAACAAAAGAATCCGTCATTGTTTACCTTTCTGAAGCCCTCTGGAGGTTTTCTAAACACACCTGCTTGCTCCATAGTAGTAATTGTGGAATGCAGAGGGAGTATTAACAGTCTTAAAGGCAACAAAAAATAATACTTACAAAACAGAGTCAAAACTTTTCCAGTTGAAAACAGGGATTCTAAATAGAAACCTACTGATTGCACTGTTCATACCTATCTACTTGATTCTGTTTAAATGGTAAAATAAGCTTGTTTAAGCCATGTTCTGACCGTACATACCAAAATTTTGTAGTAAATTTGGTACCTATTTCCTATATCCTTGTCTGTACACAAAATAAAATTCTATCCTCCATTTTGTGGTAGCAAATAAGCAAAGCCAAAAGTAGTTTTTCAATTGCCCTTCGATGCATTGTGAAACTATACTTAACAGTACCAGGGGATTGGGAACTAGAACAACTTTTCAATATGGCAGATAAATGAAATCTATAGATACAGAAATGTTAATAATCATTTCAGTTTACAACCCACTGACAGGTCAGCAACTATTGGCCGACAGTCAGCCAAAACTGGCCTGAAACATGACAAAAACTGTTGGTCAGCAGTTGGCCCATAGTCAGCTGACTGTCGGCCAGCTGTTGGCCCACTGTTGACCAACAGATGGCTGACATTTGGCAAACAATATCTTTTGAGAACTGTTCTTCACTTTTACTGGCTTTTAATTCACAACTTCAGAATCAAAACAAATTTTTTTTTTAAATAATCACTTACTTGCAATCTTGCAACATATCGTCCAACAAGCGGTCCATCTGTTTGATCTCAAAATAACCTGATAAAGGAAACAAACAAAAAAAAACACAACAGATTATTGAGACAAAACCAATGGACTAAGATAAAGTCTTTCAAGTATAATCAGAGTCTCCTCAAATTTTAGTCAGAGCAGTTTATTTCAATCTGACAAGATCAAACTTACCTGGTAAAAACATCAGTACTGAACCACGACTATGGGGCTGTCCTTCACTGCCAAGGCAACCACACAGCAATGTAATTTATCTATTTACTTATGAACAAAAGAAGTTACTACTAAGCAAAGACATGCCTGCATGCAAGTTTAGACCTAGAGACAATATTCAATATTTACTTGACACCAACTTACAATATATTATCATTAAGACTGCTGTTTAAAACTTTCATGACTTTACACACATGAACACAAAAGTTCCTAACTGGTGACTTCTAGAGCTACCTTTAATAAGTACATTTTCACCAGGGGTGATGTTGTAAGCAGAAGTAAGATGTCCGTCACCATTGAGGGTGCAAGGGTAAAAAATGTCAATTTTTTTGGCCCAAACATGAAACATCTTGGCAAGTTTGGCTCCGAGCATTAAGATTCTCCCATTGTGATAGCAGAATCCTGATTTTCAGAGCCAAATTTGCAGTGAAAGGCACAGTTATGTAGATAAGGCCAATAGATTAAAACTTCTCAAAATGATGGCACTTAAGCTTCAACAGTTTCTGTACTATTTCAATTTTTGGAAAACAGGCAATTAGAGGAGGAATGTGACTAAAGAGAAGATACCAACCCTGTGATATCAGCCGAGTTGGCCTCTAAATTGTCAAGAGAGCGAATCAACTGAGCTGCAAGCTCATATTCCACTTGACTAATACCTGGCTCTTCAAGAGTGTTCTCTGGTATCATCTGTGAACGGAAATGACGTTTAGTACCTTGATAATACACACTTAATGGTAAAAGGTCCTCGGGGGATTGTAGAAGGGAAGTTAGAGTTTGATCTTTTCTTTAACTCTCAAACGCCAAAGTCAGAATGGAATTCTCCTTTCATAAGCTTTTTTTTTACCTTTTGGACCCTTGAAATTCAAAGTATTTTTAATTGATTTTATGGCAAAGTTTGCATACCTTAAACCTGATGTTGCCACTTCTAGCCCCTACCTCAAAATTAAGATTTAACCAATAGAAAGGTCATTAAGGTCAGTGTGGGAGAAACTAAAAATTTTTAATTTTTAACTTCCAAGATCTGATTGTTATTAATTCTTCCGTCTAGCTGCTACTTATTTCCTCATAAATTAGTTACAAGAATTCTGTGTTAGATCAAGATAAAAACTTCTACCTGATAAGTTTGAGTTACATGTACATGTTAATCACTTCTGGTAGTTAAAGAGCTAACTTACCCCAATACCGGCGAGCTCTAGATCTTCAAGATAGCTTTCTACCACTGGGAATGACTTGCCTTCCACAGTAACCACCGGAGCACCCTCCACCCTGCCACGCACAGGGACGGCAAAATACATTGAGAACAGGTCACTTTGGATAGTGGCTGACATAAGGACAACCTGTGAAAAGAAAAAAAAAAAAAAGACAAATCAAAAGAAATTGAAACAACTCATTAGCATGGACAAGTTAAATTGTAACAAGCCTATGTCTTCACCTTTTTCCTGGTTTTACCTGTCACATACAGTATTGTGCAAAAAAAATTGCAAATGAAATTGAAAACAATCATACGAAAGTCTATGCAAATATTCTCACCTGCTCTTTGCATCATTTTGCTAGAACAAAGAGTCATATTTCTTCAAATTTGGTCATACTGTTGACCATACTTAACCTCATGCTTCAGGAGACATGGATCTCTAATGCCAAATACAGAAATTACCAGTCCGAGAGCCTCTCTTACCAAAACAGCTTCAGTAGAATTTTCAAATTCTAGATTATAAAATAATAACTTGGAATGGCATGGGTAAAAAAAATCAGATGCATAGGAGATTTTCATTAGATGCCTTACATTGTCTCTAGTATTTGAACATACCTTGACATGCCTTGAGTTTGTTCTCAGCAACTTTTTCACAATTAAAAGACAGAAGTCAGAATCTTGCTCACGTTCATGAACCTAAAATAAGTAAAAACGTTTAATACTGTCTGACAAAAAAGTTCTTTAAACCTCAGAACGCAAATGTGTATAATTGTTGCAGCCCCAAGGTCACATCTTTCTCTATTGTAATGTTTACAAAATAGATCATGGAAGAAAAGATGCTTTGGGAAAATACGTGCATCTTTTAACTCTAACATTAGTATAGATATTCTCTACACTGTTTTCTATACATCTTCTGAGGTGCTGACAAGGAGAATTTGATAACCAATCAAGAGCGTCTTGAATTGGTGATCATTTCCTTTACTCTCATGAACTTTCTGTTAGATTCAGTGGTGATAAAGTTCAGAGAAATAACTAGCCACTCACTGTTAAGAGCAAAGGGTTAAAGCTACACCACTCAAGGCTTGAAGCGAACTTTTCAACTTACTAGCCTGGTGGCTAGTGACAACTTAGATGTTACAACAATTTCAGTTTGTTTACAAGCCAAACTGGCCAGTGGAAATAAAAAACCACTAGCCAAAACTGAATTTCTACTGGTCTGCGACTAGTTGGCTATTGTTAGTGTCGAGCTCTGCCACAGCTGAAGAGTAAGTTGACAATCCCTCGATTTCTCTAAAAATTTTCAATGATCGAGGCTTGAGGTGAGTTTCAAGACAATCAATTGCTTTATCTCTTTCAATAGTGAATATACAAACATGTAAATAGTTAATTAAGATATTTTTATTGTTCTTATAGTAATTGTAGTTTTAATTAATTATTGATTGTAAATTTAGTCCTTTAATTCAGTTAATTCTGCAATGTGGCAAATAAACGGTATATTACGGTATATTAATTATAATGGTATTTCATATTGCACAGATAACTGTTTAACTCCTGAGTGCGGCAAACACCTAATTTCTCCAAACAGTATCAATGCTGAATCAAACACTAGAGTCATGAGCATATTGGAAATGATCACCGATAAAAGAGGCTCTTTATTCACCAACGATCTCCTGACCACTGCCATAGGAAATGTATCAAGAACAGTACGGAGAATAACCATTAATATGATAAGGTACAATGTAAAAATTATACAAGCGTTTTCAGGGCTTGACACTAACAGTAGCCAACTAGCCACAGACTCATAGAAATTCAGTTTTGGCTGGTGGTTTTCTGTTTCCACTGGCCAGTTTGGCTAGTAAACAAACTGAAATTGTTGTAAGATCTAAGTTGTCACCAGCCACTTGGCTAGTAAGTTGAAAAGTTAGTGTCACGCCCTGCATTTTGATTGGTTCTTACATAAGTGACACCCTGTTTACCACACCTTGATTTCATCTGTGATCATTATTGAACAGACATACAGCAACAAGGAATCTTTTGTTGACCTGATGTTAGTTATAAACAGTTAACATTCAAAATAATATCTGACTCGCCAGATTTTTCTTACCTCATCCAGAAAAACGTGAGTGTACGAATTCATGTTCTTGGATTGAATGAGCCTTTGGAGTAACACCCCAGTGGTGATGTAAGACAGACGTGTGTCCTCACTCGTGCATTTGTCTCTTCCAACCTGGTAACCAACCAAACTGCCTAAATTCCAACCCCTCTCTTGGCAAACTCGCTTGGCAATGCTTATGGCTGCGATACGTCTTGGTTGAGTTACGATGATGTTACAATATCTCTGATTCTTAACATACTCGTCCAGCACATACTGCGGCACCTGGGTTGTTTTGCCACTCCCTGTAGCACCTATGTTCACAAAAACAAGTAAAAGGATTGAAACAAAAACAGCAACTACAGCTAATACGTTGTTGTTGATTCTTCAATCCATTAATAATAATTATTTCAACGAGTACATACAACAGAATTAATCATTTACACCCTAACTTCAGTATCTATTTTCTCCCTACTCTCCTTTATACATTTCCTTTGGTCCTGACAAGAAGAGTTCAATTAAAAACCAAAGAATCTTTAATTGGTGATCGCTGGTTTCCTTTATTCTCATGATCTAGTGAGCGATTCAGAAATTGGTATCACCATTAGGAGAAATTAGAAACTGATCTCTCTTAAGGTTTAGGATTTAAAATACTGATCAGGTGTAAATTTACAAAGTAAACGATCACAGGAATATCACCTACATGTGTCGCATATTATAAGCTTTTTCAACTCTACCTTGTATTACAGTGACTGAGTTGCTCTCTATGGTATCAATGATCTGTTGCCGGTAAGAGGTGATAGGAAGATCTGGTGAATAAGTGTGGTCAAAAGAGTAGTTCTCAAAAATGTGAACAGCTTCCTCCTCTTTCAAAGCTGCGGGTAATTCATCAGAAGCACCAGTTGGAGGATTGAGTTCTAGCTGGTCCAACTCATTGTAGAGATCTTCCAGTTTAGGACCAGATGAACAGTACTCTCCAATATAGGCTGGGGAAGTTTGGGGGCTAGAAATAAATAAATAAAAAATGATACCTCATTGTTTTACCTCATGACCACTATTATTTTTTTTTCCTCTCCCCTTTCCCAGCCCCCTCCCCCCTAACAATAAATGGGAGCAACTTCAGAATACCCAGCCACTCACACCTTTTATAAATTGACTGCTCCCGCGGTCTGTGGTCGACAAGCAAATAATATGTATTTGCTAAGGTAAAGACTTAAGTACTACCGCAGTGCCCACTCCCGCAGCTGATGAATAAGTATTAAAATGGTTTTTAAACTCAAGTGGTACCGCGCTCCACACTCCCGCAGTCGATGAATATGTATTAATTAAAAATAAGCATTAAAATGAAGTGCTACCGCGGTCAACACTCCCGCAGTTGATGAATAAGTATTAAACTAATTTTTAAACTCAAGTGCTTCTGCGGTCCGCACTCCTACAGTTGATGAATAAGGCAGAGGTATCGATTAGGAAAGGAAGCTGGTTCGAGAAGAGCAAGATGACCTTAGAAAAAATTTTGAAGTTGACATATTGGTGGTGCCAGGATCTCAATCAGGCGCAAATAAAACATGAAGTAGGACTTGCTGAAAGCACTGGGGTGGACTGGGACAGCTTCTGTCCCAAAGTTTGCAAAATAATTCTACTAGAAAACAGTAAAAATCTCGGCGGAAGAGGAAAAGTGGTACAGGTCAACAAAAACAAATTTGGCAAGAGGAAATACCACCGAGGTCATCATGTCTAAGGCCAGTGGGTCTTTGGAGGAATTGAGGAAGACAGCAGGAAATGTTTCCTCGTGGCAGTTGAAAAACGGGAAGAACAAGTACTACTGCCCATTATCCAAAAATGAATTGAACCTGGAACTTTTATTGTTTCTGATTTCTGGAAAGCATACTCGAAACTTGAGAAACATGGTTATCAACACTGAACAGTTAATCACTCGGTAGAATTTGTGAACAAAGGTCACCATACCAATAAGATTGAAAGTCAGTGGAGGCATGCAAAGTCTAAACTACCTAAGTTTGGTGTTTGAAAGCATCTTTTCTCCGCATATTTGGCTGAATTTATTTGGAGGTACATGCACCACGATGAAGATTTGTTTAGTATATTTTTGAAAGATGTAAAGAAAGTTTATGACATCAGTACAAAAAAGCATTAACTTTTCAAAGCATGTTAAAAATGTATGATTAAGCTACAAAATATGTGTTTTTTTTTATGTTTAAGGTGGACAGCCAGGCCCCGATGAAGGGAGGTGCAATCCTGCCGACCTACATGTCTAATCCCAACCCATTGGCTGGCGCGCAATGCCTTAGGGATGGGGACCACCATAAACGATGGTCACCAGATGCCAAACTCGCTGGGGAATCGAACCCCACCTCACTTAAAAATTACACACTCACTCCGAGAAATTAAACACACCCACTCAGTACTTAACTAAATATTTTCTTTTGTTTTTCTTTTTTATGACCTTAAACGATGGTCACCAGATGCCAAACTCGCTGGGGAATCGAACCCCACCTCACTTAAAAATTACACACTCACTCCCAGAAATTAAACACACCCACTCAGTACTTAACTAAATATTTTCTTTTGTTTTTCTTTTTTATGACCTTAATTAATTACTTTCAAGATGGGAACTTTTTGTCGCAAAAAGCCAAAGCAGCCTCAATGTCCTTATCTCTCAACCCAATAAATCGGGGATCTGAAGTCCACTGGCCGTAAGTTTTGCGCTGACTGGGCGGTTTACGATAGTCAACCACAATCTCCCACACGATTGCACGGTGGTCTGCAGAACAGCCAGCCATTTTTGGAACTTCACAGAGAACGCTAGGGTCACCATTATGGATATCACTCTTGGGTGGAACTGCAGCACTCTTAGACAGGGCCTGTTGGGTCCTCTTCACCGAAACGGGGACAGAGGAAGTGGGGCGTTTCCGGGAAACAGTGGTCCATGAACCACTGTTGCCAGCCATGTCAGTGTCAGCGGGGCTAGCTAAACCCTCAGCTGCTGGTATGATGACATCGTTACTAGCCTCTTCACAGGAAGCACAACGGTCTTCACTTGCATCTGAATCTGGGAGTGAACAAGCATCATCCTCAGAGTCAGCAATGACCGGTCAGTGGACCCTTCTTCAACGGGACTGATCTCAGGTGGTGGAACTGCCACAGGGTTCGCTACAGGCTCAGCAGCCCGAGGGGCCCTTGCTGGGTTTGGACAATTGCGGGCCAGATGACCTTCCTTGCCACACTTAAAACACTTACCCTTAGCAGGGCATACGACAGAACGATGGCTGACCTTATGACACAGGTCACAGCATAGGGGCTGACCCCTATACCAGACCTTACACTTGACCCCACGAACAGAGATAAATCGAGGTATCTCATGCCTCACCACCATCGACACTACCCTTGAAACGGTGGAAACCGATGGGATGTATGATTCATGATCCATCGCTTTTTCAAAGAACGTGGAATGCTTCTTGTTATTATTGAAAGTGAAGTCAAACCTTTATTAAGCGGTCACCCTCTGGAATGAGCCAAATGAAAGCTTAAAAGAGGTTCACCGGTTAATAATATGTTCCTTGTGAATATATCTTTGAAGGTGAAAGATTTTCTTGTGGTTGGCTGCAAGCGAAGTTAATAAAAGAAGAATTTGATGTTTACTGCCATAGGCCCTTGAAGGCCTATTAGCCCAAACAAACCACTCTTTATTACAGTATCATGCATAACATGTTGAGTTTGATGGTCTTCTAAAAGAAACTGGAAATGGTGCGCGAATAATTGTTTCAAAATATCCTGAAATAAAGCATTCAAGGTAATTAACTACGTGGAAGCTTAAAAGATGTGAAATACAATAAAATTAACCAATTGGGAATTCTAAATGGTTACCGCTTCTGCTTTTATAAGCCTAAGTTATGTGAGCCAATTACCATAGAGGCTCGGCTAGACGACAGGTAAACCAGGCTCAATGTTTGTGTCACGTACACATGGTTAAATAGAGAGAACATATGGGGAGAAGTTTAGGTGTGCAAATTTGCTTGAAAATGGAAATAAAAATCGATGTTGTTCTTAATATGTACACGACATTTCGGGAAAAATATGTAAATTATGTCGACTGCGGGACTACGGTAGCAAGGAACAACAAGGTGAACACCAACGTGGATGATGCTGGCGGCATATTGCGTGATGTTTAATATCGTCGACATCCGTTCGTATCGAGAGACAAACCTCAATACTAACTACGATGTTTAAAATAATGTAGATATTAGGTAAAGTATGTCGACTGCGGTAGCAGGATATGATGAATGATTTTTCAGTGGTCGGGTATTCTGAACTTTAGCCAATAAGGAGCAAGTTTAGCCAATAAATGTAACGTTACGTCTACATTGGGTACAAGGTTTGCAGAATCAAGTTCTCACTTCTTCTTGTTCCGCAGCTTGAAGCCAACGTAAACGACGTTCAAATCGTTTTACTCAACTCGTCGTTAACTTAGAGGTCGACAATAAATTCTCACCTTTGCATATTTCTTTTTGGCATTTTAAACTGCTGTTTCACAACATTTTGCCTGTCCTCTTCTTCATAATGTCGCCCTGTTATCTTCACAGTTGTCACAGCGTTTGGTTTAGCAAGCGGTCTCAGACTAAAAAAGTCTTTTATCTGATCAAGGGTTATATCAGACATTTATCCGCTCTAATACCTTAGCCTCAAAACAACATTTCCTTCCGAACTGTCCAATGTTTTTGTCTTCCTCAGTTTCCACAAGCCATCCGGTTTACAGGCAGAACTGACCAATGAGAAAATTTGTACTATTTAAAGTGGCCAATCACATAGCTCGATACAGGCTGAATGAGCCCGCGCTACTCGCTCTCTATAGCACGTGAACTCTTCCGCGAAAGTTCAATTCACATGCCATTAGAGACACTTTTACTTACTATTATGTTTGAATCAAAATTCATCATTCATAATGGATGACTGGCAAACTTGTCCGAGATGCAAGACAACGAAGTACAGAAATCCAAAGCTTACGCTTTGGGTGAATGTGTGCGGCCACAAATTGTACGTCGACGCTCTGTAGATGCTTGGTTTGCACGTTACGGCATGGCCGCCATGTTGGTGGACGTATATAAACAATGGATATCTCATTAGCTTCTTTTGCTCGTCCACCAGCATTTGTTGCTTTCACCACTGTTACTTGTGTCTCTGGAGACTGGTTTCAAACCACCCATTGCAGAATACCCGGCCACTCATTTACATGTCATTGAATAAGAATGGCCTCTATTGTGTTATGCTTCGTTCTTCAAAGCCTCCCGACAGAGGTAAATGAGGTGGCCGGGTGTTCTGCATTTGCTCCAAAAGATTTTTTGATGATCTCTTTTTGAAGTATTTCAGACTGTCTTGCAGTTTTAGTAATTTGAAGTCTTTCAAAGTGCAACTGATGCTAAATCACTATGATATTTCCTTATGTGTCGTTAATTACAGTAATTATTAATCCTGACCCCATGGGCCGATTATTTAAACAAGTTTAGCCGTTGTTTAACAAAACCACATCCTAAACAATTCTCAAATTGGCTGAACCTTTCATCTGAGCATTTACATGTATTTTTGTGAACAGTATCAAGAGAGCCAAAAGCCAACAGTGGAAGGAAATTATTTCACCAGATCAATCCTTTTATCAGGGAGAGCCTGAGGCTCACTGGCTTAAACTTGTGAGATAAGCATAAGCTCAAGGATGTTCACACTAGAGACTCGCACATGCGCACTGCGAATTACATCAGCAGAAAAACAAAATGGTGGTTATGCTTGTGCTTATTTCATGCGAGTTCACACTTGTGAAATAAGCATGAGAGATGTTTCTTTTTCTTGTGCTTATGCATTTGCTTATTTCACCTCAGTGCACACTGGCATTTTTTTGTGCTTGTGCTTGGGTTTTCACTTATGCTTACTCCACAAGTGTGAACCAGGCTTTAGACCTCATGAAAAGAAATGATAAAGTTAATGTCAAAACCAATCAGTATAGGGCATTTTACAGTTGTATACTTAGTTGCCAAGCCTTTGATTTGGAGTGAGGCTGAAGGTGACCTTGTCGTGATAGAGACCTGTATCTAGTTAGCATGATAACAAAGTGATTTACATCTGAAAGGGAGCAAGGTTTGTATCATAACAAGGTAACCCTTAGCCTCACTCCCAGTCAAAGGCTTGGCAACCAAGCACACAACTGTAAAATGGACTATTCAGGTATTGTCATCTGTGTCCAATAGGTGCGAAGGCTGTAAAGAGACACTTTTCACGAGGCCTTCGGCAGCATGCCCTGAATGTAACACACCACTGCGACTTAGTGACTTCAGACTTCAACAGTTTGAAGATCTTATTGTGGAGAAAGAGGTGGACATCAGGAGGAAGATTATAAAGATGTAGGCTTTATGATAACTTACCAAGTTTGGTTGTATCAACTGAGTTGGTAACGTAAATTGGCTACCGAAAGAGTTTCTAAAGTTGACGTTTCAAGCATTAGCTTTTTCCTCAGCTCTAAAAAATGGCTTTATTTCAAAATGTCAGCATTAGAAACTCTTTACAGTGGCCAATATTATTTAGAATCATATCATTGAATAAAATCTTGCATTCTGATTGGTTAGCGAAGCAAGGTGTTTGGCATAGAATTGCTCTTTGAAAAAAAGGCTAAGTGATATTCCACATCTTCAGAAGCATAATAACTATAAATAATGCTGTTTCTTTTTTTCTCATTTTTATTCAATTATATAAATTTCAAGGAAACTCCATAACTTGGCTTGTAAATTCCACATTGAATCGCATCATTGA